CTATTATAAATAGTATCAAAAATACTAACTTCTATGTGGCATGCTCTCTCCTCTTTATATTTATGGATAATAACAACATAAATAATAGTAGGATTACAGGCATATTTTTTTAACTAAAAACACTTCATGTGAAATATAGAATGAATTCTCTCTCTCTCTCTCTCTCTCTCTCTCTCTCTCTCCACAAAACTCTCCTTAATGAAGAATGGCTCCTAGGATAAATCTCCCTCACACAATATTTTTGCTTTTATTAGACTATATATTTGTGGGTTTGTGTGTGTGTATATAAATATATATATATATATATATATTTTACCCTCTACACTTGTAACGAAATGACTTTATGTCTTCTGATTTTGGATAAGTTTCGATAAATTTAGATAACCACCAAAGTTAGATAATTTAGAAATTTGGATGATCGCCCAATTAGATGAGATAAATCTTCCCCCATGCGGAGAGAATTTAGTTAGGAAGTGGGTTAGCATCACTAAAAGCAAGATTCTCGAAAGCCCAAATCATAATTGGAATTACAAAATTGACCATTCGGCGACAGGGACTTGGTAATAACTACAGAGATAAGGTGAAGAAAATAAGAGAGATTGAATACTACAAAAGAGCAGTGCAAGGTCCACGTGTTATTCAATACGAACTGCTTCTTTAAATGTCAAAGGCTAAACATTTTGTTAATCCCCTGGGTTACCTTATCTCCCAAAAGACCACTCAAATTCATAGAAATCTTCAATTTGATCCCACCTTAAAGCTCTTGACTTTAATTGAAATAATTTATTTTAATTTTGAAGGGGTTTATGGGGTATTTGTGTTATAAATTTTGCAATTAAATTACTTTAGAGATGGGTTGGACCATCCGAGGGAGGGCTTGATGTTAATAGAAGTTTGGCTCAGATATCAAGAGCTTGTTTTTTAAATTGTTACAACTATTATTGTTCATTTTATAATCTAAAATTAATGTTATTAGAAATAATATAACTATCTCTTTTCAAATATATATTTTATAGATCCAACATAATTATTCTTTATGAATAGAAAAATTTCTTACCACTTATACTATATTTATTAAGTTGAAAAGAGGTTATTTGTGAAAAAGAAAAGTACATTTGGAAAAAATAAATCGAAAACAAACTTAATCACTCACGCTATTCAGTTCACTTTTCCTTTTTTTTCCCCTGAAGGAGGGACTGCATTGCAAGACTTACAAACTTTAGGGGTTTAGATCAGTGAGTTACGTATATTTTAAGGGAGTAATTTGTAATTTCCTAAGAAACAAATAGATGACTTTCTGTTCTATCATTTTTACTGCAATTAATTAAATTTCAAACGGTACTCTCCAAATAGCAGTCCCTGTCGAAGTTTCTATCATTTTGAAACTTCACCAGTTCAGAAAAGAATTTGACAAATAGATTCAAATTCAATAGCGGTCTGTAAAAAAATTATTGAGTAGAAGTTTGGGTTTTGCAAGTCGGATCAAGTCGAACCTTCTTTTGTTTATATATTTTTATTTCAGTTAATTACAAAGATATTAATTGTTGTGCTTTGATTATTAATTTTCAAGTAAGACAGCAGAAATTGATTTATGTTCATCAAAGAAATTGATTTAAACAAATGGATAAAGGGATTCCTAGACCTCGCAGATATGTTACATTACTAAGTTGGATTTCACTTATCCAGATAGTGGATTCATGTAAGCTGTTGATAGTTTGTATTTTATTGGAATCTAATTTAAATTTAATTGAAATTTTAGGATTTGAACCTTATTAAAATTTTAATAAATTAGATCCGACTATAAATATATATAATCAAAAATAAATAAATCACATATAGAATTAAGTAATTTAATATGTTAAAAATTTAAATCTAAATTTTAATAATTTTTATTAATTTAATAATCTTATAATATATATATACACATATATTTGTATAATGTTAATAAATATAAGTTTTGACTCATTTGATTCATCCAAAAAAACAGAAAAGAGGTCAATGTACTAAGTGGTTTCTATTTTAATAAAAATAATAATATAAATTTAATTTCTTAGAAACGTATTTGTGGAAATAATTTTAGTTGTTTACACTCCCAGGTTGGCCTCAAGTTAAAATTGGCATATAAATTCTCTTGGTTTTACCCAAAAAAAAAAAAAGATGAAGAAGAAGAAGAAGAAGAAGAAGAAAGAAAGAAAGAAAGAAGGAAGGAAGGAAGGAAGGAGGAAGACGTAGCAAAAGAGGTTTCTTCATTGTTAATAAAATCATCAGAGGAGTACTTGGATACTTGTTATTTTATTTTGCTCTTGAGAAACCAATAGGAGTTTGTGTAACATATTTAGTAATTAAATTTCCTATTTTGTTAATCCTTTCTAGTCTAACCATCGGTAAATTCATGAGTTAAATATTTGACCACACAATGACTAGGTGTCAAATTCTAATTGGTTTGGTGTATGCCATGAATTTCCCAATAGTACAAACTTGGGAAACCATAATTTATTTGTGTTTCAATTTTGTGGGCATTGCGGCCGGATCAGTCTTTTTTTTTTTTTTCATACATTGGATGCTTAAATGTCAACAACGACCCGAGTCCGTTTAATGAAATCCAGATCAACTTGGACCCGCGTTTAGATATGAACTTACAGAGGAAAAATCAGACCAATTAGTGGATCTGATCCTAATGTGCCAGTAATTGGATTTCACAGGGCTGTATTGGATTTGAAAAAGGGTCTAGGTCCATGGATCCGGTGATTCCTAACCGGTCAATGACAACAGAAGGAAACACGTTGAATGAGCATTTATTTACATCTGTTGGTTTGGTGAGTGTGACTCTTATTACACCTAATACCTGTCCCTGTGAGCTGGATGCTTCTGCCAGGATGTGGATCTAGGCATGCTGCTTGGGAGAATATGGGTTTGTGTGCATGTGTCGGAAAGAGAGATATTAAAGACATGCCCTCGACTCTACACCAATCTGATTTATTTGAGAGTATTTTTATAAAAAATATATATATTTGTTAAAATTTTTATAAACTTTTTACCAATTTTACGATCTAAAACTAATTATATTCAATATTTATAATTGTCTCTCTTTAAAAATGTACTTTTATAAATTCGAATATAATTATCGCTTATAAAATATAAAAATATTTTACTATTTATATCACACTACTAGATGTATATATATATATATATATATAGAGAGAGAGAGAGAGAGAGAGAAGGTATTCTATACATGTATAACTCTCATCTTTTTACAAAAGAGGGACACACTATTTTTAATAACAATATCAAATAAATTCAAACACTCATTCTTTTATATATTTGAATTCTTTCACCTGACTGTAAGAATGCAGTAAAATTGAGATAATTTATATTTTTTCATTTTAATATGAAAATTTTAAATTTTTAAAAATAAGAATTATAAGTTCAATTAAATCAAGAAAAAGATTTAAAATGAAGGATGCTGATTCCCCACCTCCCAACTAGACCAGCATGGGCTAATTAAACACCCCTCCAGGGTTGGTGGCGAGTAGTAGTTCTCATTTAAAGTTCTCTGCCAAAGAGGCGAGAATTGCTGCTCTTTATGACTAAAATGCCCCTTTCCCCTCTTCCTCTGTTAATTCTACTGCCTCCGTCACCGCCATTCTTTCCCTTTCACGTCTCAAAATAATATAAATATTATATATATATATATATATATAGAAAAATTAAACACTATATTTTTATTTTAAATATGATATATTATTGTTGCACAATGGTAAATTAACAATACCCATAAATTTATTTAATTTTTTTAAAATTTTAATTCTGCACAATTTTTAAAATTTATTAAAATTTTTCATAATAAATATTCCTAAAAAAATATTTTTCTAAAAATAAAATTTTCTCAATTTAAATTTATTTGATATTAAATATTAACTTATTAAATTAAATACCATAACAATTTGGATCAACATCGAAATAAATATTTGATTTTAACATCACTGATTCATTCTAACAGGATGTATAATCAGACTCAGATATTTTAAATATAATATGTAACATAAGGCCTCCTACCGACTGTTCAGTTACATACGGGCAGCGAAATAGATACAGAGACGAGAGTGGAAATAACAAAAATGGGAACTAGCATGAGATCGGCAACCACCGGCGCCGGAACAATGATTGTAATGGCGGCATTGCTGGTCGCTGTGGCGGCCGCGCAGGCGCCTGCGCGGGGCCGGGGACAGAATCGACGATTGCTTTACTGCTCTGGGGAACACGTCGGACTGCCTGACTTACGTGGAGGCCGGAAGCAGTTTGAAGAAGCCGGAAAAAGGTTGCTGCCCGGAGCTGGCGGGGCTGGTGGATAGCAACCCCATATGCCTCTGTCAGCTGCTTAGCAATTCCTCCAGCTTTGGCGTTCAAGTCGACCGCTCGAAGGCGCTCTCTCTTCCTTCTGTTTGCGCCGTCGAAACTCCTCCCCTTAGCACCTGCTCAGGTCTCTCCCTCCTCCTTTAAACTATGCTGAATATTATTGATTTATTAAATATTATTTATTAAATAATATGTTAATATTTTATTGATTTATCTTAAACTGAAATGCTTGGAAGTTTTTGGAATTCCGTAGTGTAAAAAATTAGCCGTAGTTGACTTGGTGCAGAGAGAAAAGCTCGCTAATTATACCTTTTCTGTTTTCTTCATTTGCCATTTACACATTTCATGTTTGTGTGAAGCGAATGCTGTCATGTTTGGGTTATAAATTAAGATTAGAGCACCCTTTCCCCTGTTTGATTGTTCCCGGAACTGGAATTTCTTATCCCATGACTTGTTGTCCCTACGTTTGATTTGAACCCAAGATTGGATTGTCTAGTCCAGATTTGTGTTTCATGTAAAAATTAAGATCTTCTAGCATGTTTGATAGAAAGCGCGTTTGAAACAAAATTGAGTTTAAGAGAATCCTTGCCCCTGTTTGATTGGACCTGGAATTGGACTTTCTTATCCCGCGATTTGTTGTCCCTATGTTTGGTTGGAAACCAACATTGGATTGTCAACTCCAGGATTATGTTTCCGGTTAAAGTCAAGATCTTCCGGTATGCTTGATAGAAAGTGTGTTTAAAGAAAATGGATTCAAGAGAAACCTTGCCCTTGTTTGATGATACCTGGAATTGGATTTTCTTATCCCGTGACTTGTTATCCCTGTGTTTGATTGGAACTCAAGATTGGATTGTCAATTCCAGGATTGTGTTTTTGGTAAAAATCAAGGTCTTCCAGCATGTTTGATAAAAAGTGTGTTTAAAAAAAAAATGAATTCGAGATAACCCTTGCCCCTGTTTGATTGTACCTGAAATTGGATTTTCTAACGCAGTTACTTGTTATTTCGATGTTTGATTGAAAACTCAAGATTGGATTGTCAATTCCAGGATTATGATTTCGGTAAAAATCAATATCTTTCAGCATGTTTAATAGAATGTGTGTTCAAAGAAAATGAATTCGAGAGAAACCTTGCCCTTGTTTGATTGTACCTAGAATCAGACTTTCTAATCCTGGAAATTGTTATTCCTATGTTTGATTAGAAACCCAAAGTGGGTTGTCAATTCCGAGATTGTGTTTACCGCAACAAATTAAGATCTTTTGCCATGTTTGGTAGAAAGTATATTTAAAAAAAATGAATTCAAGAGAAGTGGGTTTAAAAGAATGGATCCGTATTTTTAAAAAAATAATTCTAATGTTGCAGCTGTTGGATATCCAATTGAAGATGTAGCGCCAACGGCATCACCAATGCTGCCACCTGCCGCCACGCCTGGTATTACCGTTTCTCCTGCTCCATTTATCTTTTAATTTGCCTGTTTGGATTTGTATTCTATTTCCCATTTTTGTTTTCAATCTTTCTGTGTTCGAAATCTTAAAATACTTTTTATTGTTTCCAAAATCACTTGTTTTCTGAAAATTCTCAAAACAAATCGCTTCCACACAAGGTAATACAACAAGAGTAGAGATTGTCAAGCTCTGGTGGAGCTCATACTCCAGACTGATCATACAAATTATGGGATTTGAACCAGTTCATGGAATATATATATATTTTCTGTTTTTGAAATAAAAATCAGTTTTTAGAAATAAATCCAAACATGAATCAAGTTTATTTTTAAAAAAATAAAATAAAATAAAGTGAAGTAAAATGAATTGAGTACGAAGCCATATATTAATCATTAGAGTGGGTTTGGGGGGCGCAGCAGGAGCGGCGCCGGATTGCCTCACGGTGCTGGCGAACATGTCGGACTGCCTGACTTACGTGCAGGCCGGAAGCACCCAAAAGAAGCCGGATAAGGGTTGCTGTCCTGAGCTCGCTGGCCTCGTCGACAGCAACCCCATCTGCCTCTGTCAGCTTCTCAGCAAGCCCGACAGTTATGGCGTCCAAGTCGACGTCACCAAAGCTCTGAAACTTCCTTCAGTTTGCTCCGTTCAGACTCCTCCCGTTAGCACCTGCGCAGGTTAGCCACCTCTCTCTCTCCTCCCTTCCTCCCTTCCAACTGTCCTTAATTTACAGGATTATGGTTGTCTTTTTAGAATTATATTTCATTGCATTTTGAATTTGTTTCTCAAAACAGTTTTATGTTTTCGAAATAGAAAACTTGCTTGTTTATTTTTATTTGTTTAAAATTTACAGAGAAGATCCCAAATGTTTGTAAGTGAATGAATTTTTCTGCATCATTTCTTGCAGATCTTGGATACCCTATTAGAGGCATGGCCCCAAGTGAGGCACCAGGTACTTGCTTGTCACTCTTCTCTGCTTTTTAAATTTTGAGAGTGTGAATTGGTCTGTGCATGTTTGGTTTCTTGATGGATATTTTCATCATGTCTCCGATAAACAAAAAACAAAATATAGGAGTAGCTGGTGGTGATATGCCGCCGGGAGCTTCACCATTGGCGTTGGCGTCCGGTAACCAGGATTCCGGAGGAGCTTATTCGGAAAATGCAGTCTCTCTGACTCGGCTATCATTTCTTGGTGCTGCTTTTCTCACAACACTTGTGTTCTGAAGACTACAGTCATCTTTCTCTTTGATATTTTCCTTACATTGGTCTGAATTTCTCATGTTGTAATCTTACTTTGCCTACTTGTACCAATTATTTGTATCATTATTTCCTTAATTTTCAAGATTCGTCTTGTAGAAATAAAAGGAAACTGCTGCTATTGACGATCTCTAAACCCATTTCAATTCCGATTCTTGGAACTTCCGTAGGAATTTTAAATCTAATGGATGATTATTTCTATGAATTGTATTGTGTTTGGATTAAAGAGAGCACATAAAGATAAGTTGAGACTTGTGAATTGGAAACCTGACTGTCTAAATTTTCAATGAATAGGGTGGGGAATAAGGTGGAAATGAGTTGAATCATCTCATGAGCAGCGCATCATTTATTTTGATAATTAGATCAACGAGTTAAAACTTATAAATCAAATGAGTTATATAAACTTTTTAACTCGTATAAAATATGAGTCCAGTTTAAATTAAAGAAAGTTTGACTCATTTAGTTAATAAGTTGACCCTATATATATATATGTGCACGCGTGCGCACACACCTAATTAACTTGTGAAGATTTGATTTTTTTTAAATTTCAAAATAAATTACGTTTTCTAAAATAAAAAATTATTTTTTACTTTTGAAAATATTGAATATAAAATTCAAGGTCGTTAATTTTTTTTAATATTGAGAGAAAATTATGTAATAATAAATTTGAAATAATCACTCGTTGAGTAGCTAACTTGGAAAAAGTAATAAGGTTTTTATTTTTTTAAAAAAAGTAATATAGTACAAGAATATCATAAAAAAACTAAAAAAAATATAGGTTAGTTAGAAATTACAATTATGACATATTATTTTTTTATATGTCAAAGCAAAACTAAAGATAGAATAATAAAATACAAACTACTTAGAAATTACAATTATAATATAATATTTTCTCATATGTCAAAGAAAATTTAAAAATAGAATAATAAAACACAAGTTAGTTAGAAATTATAATTATGACATAATATTTACTCATATATCAAAAATAGTTTGAATCTTTCTATAGTTAAAACTTTTTTATTTTGATATTAGTTTAAATTATAGATAAAGACATTGTTTAATAATGTTACTTAAATGGAATATATAAATTATTAAATTTTTTTATATATGTAAGCTAATGAGCTGAGTCGAACTGTTCATGACGTTAGTGTGAGCCAAACTTGAATCAAGAAAATAGGCTTACTTAAAAAATGAGTCGAGTTATAAAACTAACCTAAATTTAAATTAGTCAAACTTAAGTTGGGATTAGCTCAACTCAGGCTGACTTGACTCATTTTCACCCGTACTGGAGAAGGACTATGTCACGCCCCGATCCGGGCCCGTGACCGGCACTAGGGCCCACCGACCCTAGTCAGCCTCAAGACCATCTCACATGATTCCAAACCATCATATCATATGAATAATATCGAGGATGTTGTACAAACTCAATTTTCAAAAACAAACCAGAATCCTGTCTGAGAATAACAAAGGAGTTTCTAGAGTACAAAACAGTAACATAAATAAATGTGCCCGTACATCGATCGAATTCTGAAGCTCAAGACAAATCCTTACGACTGGAATACGAACAGTCAACTTGATCTGGAATGATAATAAAAGGATGAGTCGCGAAACTCAGCGAGTACAGATGATACCTAGTCTATGCATGTTGGGATATGTATCATTACCACAAGTTCTAAAACCCTTTTTAACACATATAAATACAGTGAGCAGTTCAATATCAAATCATACATATGTGAGGCATCAAGATAATCAATCATCACATCGCATCAATCACAGGGCCAGTGTACTCCCGCACGCTACGGTAGCACACCGTCCGTCGACTGAGCCCTTAGCTGCACAACTCATCTCATCGCTGGGCCAAGGTACTCCCCGTACGCTACGGTCCACCGTCCGTCGGCTGAGCCTGCCATCCCAATACAACCTGACAGTGCGTAACATGTCTGCGGCCTCTGCCGCCTGCGGTCCCTGCCGCCTCATCTCAAACCCAGGGCCCTCGCACTGGACGCCACAGCATTGCTGTCCTCCAGCTGAGCCACCTGGCGTCCCCAAAACACATCTCACAATACCCACCTCATGTATAAGTCAAAATCAGGTATACATATTCATATACAGTTTACATCTCAAAAGCCAGTATCACAAACCAACATATCTCACTGATAATTCATAAAACACATAACACATATCCCGAGTATAATATAGTCAAAATACAATTTTCAAACCACATAATCATCATGTCAGAAAACCACAATATGAAATCACAGGCATAGAGAGGGTATCATCACTCACAATACAAAAAACCAAACCAATAGAGAAGTCCCGAGTCACCTCCACCCGACTCACCGGTCAGGATATATCTCCTCAACCATATCTGTAGTCAAAACCACACAAAATCATTACCAATACCAAAATTAGCACAAGAAACGGGCTTAGTAGCCCGAACTGGCTCAAATCCCATCCTGGGACCCTTGGCATGCATCCCAAGGTGCCAAAACCCATCACGAGACTCACGTGTTTCACTAACACAGTCAATTTCCACTCAAAACCCTTAACAATGGTGAACTAGCCCTTAAAATCCCAAACCATAATAAACCGATCGCCAAAAACCCTTGAACCGGCTTAAATTGGCCTAAAACTACCTCATCCCGAACTCGTTTGGCCACGAAACCCTCAAAATCAGATTCAGAAGGCCCAAAACCCTAGGAACCACTATGAACCGGTCAAAAATGAGCCAAAATAAAGCTGAACCGGCCAATTTATCATTAATTATCCTTGAACCGGGTCGGTTTAATCAAAACACTAAATTTTCGGTCAAATCGGACCTCCCCGAACCCCGAACCAACTTGGTTCAGTAGGTCTTTTCTCCCTGATTCCAGAACCAGTTCAACTTCCCAATTCCGAGGTCGTTTGACCACTGAACCGGCCGGTCAAAGCCACTGACCGGTTCAGTCAACTGCTCTGTTTTTTTTTTTTTTTTTAACTGAGCCGGCTCGGCTCGGCTCAGCCGCTAAGAGTCGGCTCGGAGCCGGCTTGCCCCCGGCTCGGATTCGGCTCGGAGCCGGCTCACACCCGGCTCGGCTCAGCCGGCTCGGCTTGGAGCCGACCGCCCGCAACAACATTACTTTTTCTTTTTTTTTTTTTTTTTTTTTAAGAATACAGGCTGGCCCGCGGCTTCCAACCCGCGGGCCGCCTGGCAGGCCTGTCCGGGCCCAATGGCCCGGACAGCCTGCAGGCCGCACAAGGGACCCGGATCATCCGGGTCCCGCCCAATTCACCCGGAAATTCCGGGTTTGACAGACCCGGTTCACAAAACCGGGTCTGTAACTTCCGAAAAAAGAAAAATAAAATAATAAAATCAAAATAAAAATAGGAAAACCCACTTACCTTATCAATCCACACTCGAATTTGGTAGATCTGAGCAGAACGAGTCGAACTACGCCCAATAATCGGATCAAAACTAATAAATCATCAAAATTTATCCAAAAACTCCTCACGGATCGCGGATGAACCCAAATATAGAAAACTCTCAATTTCTCTCTCTAAACTCACCCGAATTCCGAAATTGAGAGAGGGCTTTCGTTCCTCTCTTAAATACGCACGTGGCGGTTGTGAACAAATCACCGAAAACTTCAATCATCGCGACGAATTCGGCGTCAAAAGCTTCGGCCACCGATTTGGACCAAAATTCTGTTTTCTTTAGATCTAGTCCTCAAATTTTGTTTTCTTCAATTCAGTTCCTGACAATTTCAATGAAATCCCATACTTCCCAGAATTCCCAAATCAACCCCCAAACTTCTAATATTCCCAAATTAAGCCCC